ATTGTCGTCGGATTAACACCAAATTTTCACAGCTTTAAGGTGACAATGAGAGGAACTTGAATGTGTCCAGACAAACTATTTCATCGATTATTTACCAACGAGTTGTGGTTTGAGTTGGGGGCAATGCGACTAAAACAGTAATTGAAATTCAGCACACTATTTTTTAAAACGCGTTGCTTGAATAAAACTGACCAGACACATTCAATTTACCAGACTATTGAACAACTAGGAAAGGTGAAAAAAATACTTCTTACCGCCAGCATAAATGCGTAATTATTTTTTTTACAGAAAAAGTAATTTTTCACCTTTGATTGAGTAACGCGTCGTAGAATGCAGATACGGGCATGCAAAATACACTTGTGAAAAGCTTGAAGTCTGGCAATTCTAAAAATATATACTTTCCCAGGTCTATTTGTAGTCATTCAGTCACAATTAGAAGATGAAAACAAGTATGCAAATAATAGTCTCGCTACCTTAATCATATCTGATAGATCATTGACACAAAAAATGGCTGTCAGCTGGCCACTTTGAATGAACTCCAAGACAAAACTATTACTGGTAATTGATATGTGTTGCATGACACAGATTATATGAATAAATTTCACCTGTGATACAATATATTATAGTTCACAATTCAAGTTCTTATTCACAATGTGGGCTTGTTTTTGTAACACAATCCTCAGTACAGATATACTTTGAGTAACAAAGAAAGGTGGTAGTACTTACCTACATGCTGTATATACAGAATGAAATAAACTATCAAATATAGACCAGTGTCTGTAGAGTGAAAGACGTAATCTAAACATTCATATTAAGGAATGACTACTTGAAAATGCTACAATAATGGGTGAAACAAAATCTGAAAAAAGGCAAAACAACCATACAATACAGGAAAAAATAAAGTCATTATGAAGAAACAAGTTGACCAGCTTTCTCAAGAATAAATTTAGATTTTCAAACTCAAACTCTCTCCATGTGCTCTGTAAATAAAATCACCACTGATGGTGGAACACAACACAAATTAACATTTTGTGAAACCAGGTCAGTGGGTCAAGTAACAATTTTCCATATCATGCACACAAATATCAATCGGCACTGTGAACGTTTGAATAAATGGTAGAAATAAAATTAATAATACAATGAAACGATGACATTTATGACAGAGATATAGTAATATGGCCAAAAATAAAAACAGCCGTTATTTAGCCATCTTTGATCTGATTATGAAACAAACTGACATGTATGATGTATGTTCCAAATACAAATGAAAATGGTACACAAATCTTGGAAATATAATAGTAAGGTCAAAAAGTCAGATGGCTGTCAATCGACCATCCTTGATCCGATTTTGAAATAAATTGTCCTGGACATGTATCCTAACATGTATAAAGTATGTGCCAAATTTGAATGACAACTGACAAAGCATGTCCAAGATACCACACATAAAAAACAAAACAAGATGCCTGCGAGTCGGTCATCTTTGATCCAATTGCGAAAAAATTTCAATGAAAACATGTAAAAAATACGACATTTTCAAAAAACAAGATGGCTGGCATCGCTAAACCACTACATGTGCATATGTCCCACATAAAGTACTAGGAACATGCAAAGAAATTCTGAAATATGATTCTGGACGGACTGACACACGGACTGACACACGGACGGACAGACGGACGGACGGACAAACGGACGAACTCACTGACAGTCGGGAACATGTATTCTAACATGTATAACCTATGTACCAAATTTGAATGACAACTGACAAAGCATGTCCAAAATACAACATTTTCAAAAAACAAGACGGCTGCCAGTCGGCCATTTTGAATCGAATCGCTAAACCACTGCATGTGCATATGTCCCACATAAAGTACTTGGCACATGCAAAGAATGAACAGAGTCGGTCCAAAGGATTCTGAGATATGACTCCGGACGGACGCAGACCAAATTATAAGTCCCCATTTTCGGACTTCAAGTATGAACTAATCTACGGATGCATATACATTGTAAAGGTAAAGGATACTCCCTGTTGAATGCAATTCTGAGACAGTCAACAGATACAGCCATATCTTGGTCATTCAAAGGATGATTATGACGGGATACATGACGATTCAACTCATCAACATCACTCACATATTTATCTCTGTAAATTAAACAAGTATGCATTACACCTATTTGTGTTAAATATGCCTCCAATTGTATAGACCAGTGAGACTTGCATAGACTGTTGTTACTATTACTGTAAAAGGGTTAATTATTCACTGGGTTTTATTCGCTGAGTGGAAAATGCGCTAAATTAAAATCCAGTGAATATGTAAAATTGAGCATAGAACACATTATCTATAAAATTAAAACTCACTGAATATACCTGAAATGCTAAAGTGAAATTTAAACCCAGTGAAAATTAGTCATTTTACAGTACTTGTAATTAATATACTTCTTTATTATGGAACAAACAATTCTTAAAAATAGGCCTTGGTTATGTGACTAGTTTGAAGCGTAACATTTGCCATATATAAGAAATGTACAGTTCTTACAAATATAAGCCAAAATATAGTTTTTTTTTTATCACTGGCAAAAATGATTTTGAATAATGTTTAATATAGTTATGAAAACAGCAATAATTATTATAAATCCTCAGACATTGTACAATAAGTTCTATCCCAAACATTCTGGAGAATTAAAAATGACAAACCTTTCAATTTTACCAATGACAATCTGACTTGAGAGCCCTACAATAGCCAGCCTGGATAATAGAAAGAGTTGTCAGTGAAAGTGAATTAAAACACAAATACACATTGGTCAAAACTGATGTCAGTACAACTTGATAAATAAATACCATTTGCACCAATCACATTTTAACTCAAATCCCTGTGTTGTTAATTTCAAAATAAATCATGTCAATTTAGTCAACCATTTGATATTCTTTTTTTCATGTGTTCAGGGAATTTATCAATTTAAATGATATGCATGACTCTTACTCATCTTATTTTACTGAGTAATGATATGAAAATCAAGTTTACCTATCAAACCAGAGACAAAGAACAATTGAGAGCTTGAGTTATTCATGGAGGCCATGAAGGAAATTGCCTAAATGCACTATCTGACTGCCTTGGTGCTTTTAAATGTTCACTGCATACTTCCAATTAAACCAAGATATCTCACAAATATTTTCCCCCGAATGAGTGCCCTCATAATTCCAAAGAGAATACAATTTGTGTACATACCAAAGAAGCTCACTGGTGTCTTTTGACATTTTCCATGATAACTCTTCAAATAACACCAATGCAGACTGAAAAGAAAAAAGCATTTTCAGCTATAAATTCAATATGTTTGTATTGCCAGATATTACGTGTACCTAAATGTGGATATCCTTTGAGATTGTCAGAAAGGCTTTCCAGTAGCCTACAAGAATTATGTACTAATGTTATTCAGCCAGTTGAGTCCTGTGCTAATTGGACATGCATGTTATTCATGTATTCATGAGCAAACCAGAGATGGGGTTGAGTGAGCAAATGGTGTATCTTGGGTGAGCCAGTGCTGGGCCAGGGGCAAACCAGAGATGGGGTTCAGTGAACAATTGGTGGACCTTGGGTGAGCCAGTGCTGGGCCAGGAGCAAACCAGAGGTGGGGTTGAGCGAGCAATTGGTGGACCTTTGGTGAGCCAGTGCTGGGCCAGGGGCAAACTAGAGATGGGGTTGAGTGAGCAATTGGTGAGCCTTGGGTGAGCCAGTGCTGGGCCAGGAGCAAACCAGAGATAGGGTTGAGTGAGCAATTGGTGGACCTTGGGTGAGCCAGTGCTGGGCCAGGAGCAAACCAGAGATGGGGTTGAGTGAGCAATTGATGGACCTTGGGTGAGCTAGTGCTGGGCCAGGAGCAAACCAGAGATGGGATTGAGTAAGCATATGGTGGATCCTGGGTGAGCCAGTGCTGGGCCAGGGGCAAACCAGATATGGGGTTGAGTGAGCAATTGATGGACCTTGGGTGAGCCAGTGCTGGACCATGCAGGTGCATGCCAGATATGGGGTTGAGTGAGCAATTGGTGGACCTTGGGTGAGCCAGTGCTGGGCCATGCAGGTGCAAACCAGAGGTGGGGTTGAGTGAGCAATTGGTGGACCTTAAGTGACACTGTGGTTGGCCTTAGTGAGCCTGGGACAAATCAGCTGTGGGCTTGGGTGAGTCAGTGATTGACTGGAATGGGCATAAAGACATTGGTAGGCTTCAATGAGCCATGGGTGTGCTTTGGTTTTCCTGGAATAGCAACATCCATCAAGAACAGTACACATACATACTAATACTAGTGTGGCCAACAGATTCAACAAGAATATTAAAACATTACCCAGGGATCTCGCCAGCCCAACGCGAGTGCCGGTGGGTCATGAATATTAATGAGCTATATGAATAGTAATGAGTTCGGTCGCAGTGCAAATTAAGACATTATGTTTCACAATTTAGAAGAGTTTGAATTTAAAAATTAAATATATTCGAAATGCAAATGCTGCAGACTAAAAAACAGAAACAAATAAACTATTGTTGCAATATTAATGTCTCTTGTGAAAAGTTAAATAAAACGCATTTGAAACGTTTCAACCAGGATTATGTTCACGATCTTATTTACTCCAAATACATTCTCCTTTGACCACGTAAAATCGACCATGTAATTATTTGGAGTATTGTTGTAATTTATTATTCTTACCATCAACTTCTAAAACGTATATATTCACAGTAATGAACGAACAAATAAAACTTCTGAACTTTCAAAGTTACGACGTGACATAACTTACTTTGCAATGTTATACACCGATTATACCAATAATTTTTCTTACTCAGTCATGATGCCAAGCAAAAAAAGTTACTTTTTTTTTTTTTTTTGATATGAAATAAAAGTAAAAATTGACTTAGTTTTATCGGGAGTGGATATTTTTGATCAAGCTTCGGTAAAAAACACAGCCATGATGTTTGTGACGTATTAGTTGACCGGCATGTGTCCTTTGACCCGATGGGTCAATACTTCCATTAACCAATCAGAATGCCGCATGGTAATGCCGGTGGAAAATTACATTGCGGAAGTAAAGCAATGTCGTAACACGATGTGTTGACATCGATTTCAGTTGAAAACTGCATGATCGTTATCGAAAGAGGTGATTAGCAATTTTTAAAAGGTAAAATAGGTCTTGAAAAAAGAGTTTTTGCATGAATCACGATGATAACAGTTGAAATGTATTTTACTAAATCGCGCAATAAACACGTTGATTTTATTCTTGCGTAGCGTAAACTGTCAGATCCTGAACTCCGCTTTGACCATGTTATATCGAGGTGAAATTGATTTTGAAAGAATTTTAGCTTTCAATCTAAAGACTGTATCTATCTCAGAAAGTATTTACTTACAAACAAAGAGGTGCTAATTTCACAAAATTGACTAGCCGCTACGTATCGTGCGACTAGGTCTATTGTTTACAAATTATAATCCACGACTGGCAGGATGCGTGCCGGTCGGTACATAATTATAATAACAATCGGACAATAGTCCTGGTCGGAAGCATTTCCGAGGTGGTCGCTAATTTTGAGTGCCGGTCGGGGCCAACCACCCTCGACCAGCGTGGCGAGATCCCTGATTACACTCAGCAACATGACTACTTACTGATGTTCCATGAAAACTAAATTCTTCATATCTAAATAGTATATCTTGTCTTTCTTCCTCCCACATCCGAAGTTTTCTACGTTTCTCTATTTGTTGCTCCAGTGCATCCTATGTGTAAATACAATAATCACAATGACAGGTACATTATTACCATATATTACAAACAGAAAGAATATTTGCTCTATCAGAATCCGAAAAAGGGGATTGAATTGATTGAATATGATTTATTCTGACAATACAACTAGGTACCTAACATTTTGATTAGCAGCTATAAAGACATGTGCTGTTAAATAGAATAAATACAGTATTTGTTATTATCCATAAATACATTGAGAGCTGAATGAACCTTACCTCATCCAGTCTACGTCTTTTACCAGAGGGTGCTGATCCATCACTTTCATTCCCAGAATCCCTGTCTTCATCATCAGACTGCATAAGAAAGTAAGTTATTCATATCAGCTACTGGTCTATAATCATACTCACATCTGGTGTAATATGTTTCAGAGATAACAATTTATCTACCATTTTCTACTATACCATACTTCCCCAATCATAAGCCCCTTCCCAAGTAAAGGCCCACCCCTCTATTTTTAGACATTTAACAAGTTGAGGGCATCCCCGATTATAAGCCCAGGGTGTTTTTCCCGGGCATCAACGACATTTATTAAAATATGCATGTAAAAAGAGTGTTTTATTGCATAAAAAATTTTGATGTTAGTTTGGTTCATGAAACATGGCCATTGAACATCATTTTACTTTTCTAAATAATCATGTCCATTGAGACTATCGTAAATGTGGTGTGAACGAGTAAACTATTCTTCAATGCGACATGTTGGCGACCGTGAAAAGTGGTTAAATATGTTCTCCACATTCAGTTTATTTTTCAAAAATTGCTAATCACCAATTTTTAGGAAAAATGAACATGTTTGTTTCTTCATTGAAAACGTTTTCTGAGGTGGTCTTTGAGTATAAGCCCATCAATTACTTTGACAGATTTTACATGTGGAGGCCCCCGGGCTTATGATTGGGGAAGTACAGTAATATCTTTACAATTCACAATTCATCATTTCAGATGAGATGTTGAAGATTAAATAGGTTTCACAGCTGAAATCGCTTTTATTAAGTGAAGTTATTGTGTATCAAGTCAATGTCAATGACATTGTCCTTATTAGTTTTTTAGTTACTGTGTCAATTAACATCAATGAATTTGTTCTAATTAAAGTTGACAGTCAAAAATATATATACGAAAATGAATTTTACCTCTTCGTCACGAAAAACCTTTTCATAATCTGGAATATTTGAAAAGTCATCTTCTTTCTTCATCAGTAATTTTATCTAAAACAAAAAGTACCGGGGTACATGCCAGTATTGTCAGTATTGCAGGGGTTGTGTTAACGCAAAAATGTGCATCTGAGAAGCATAGTTTTTGAATGTGGAGTTTTTTCCGACTTACGATTCCCTCTGTGTGCACATTTTTGGGGGAAAAAATGAATAGGCACTGGGTCCCATACAATTCTTCAAAGGTGGGTCCACAATGTTGGACATTCATGCAACCCCTGATTATATATTGCAGCCATGTAAATGTAACACAAGGTTCCATTACAATAACATCTTTCAAGTATGCAAGGAGACAGCACCATGGCAACATCAACACAGCATATACATCCAATATATTTAATTTTATGTTTCATTTTGGCAATGATTATTATTTCATCAACTTAACAAAAACCAGTATGGGAACACTTTGACACACAAATTAACTCCTCACATTATTGGCAGCATTCAGCATGGCATGTAATGTGTACAAACATTTTTCGAACTTCAGCTTAAAACAAATGTTTGACCATAATGTCTGTGCAACGAAATTTACCTTTTAAAACACTGTTAAGTCCCCAGAGTTAAAAATCACTATAATAACATACTCTCCAGTCATATAAATTTATACTTCTAGCAAGTGTTCAAACAGTACTGCACTTTTTCCAGTATGAATCTTAACTAAAGCCGCTTGATGCCAAGCCACATCATGTTCAATAGAGTTCTAAATAACAGGACTATTCTTTCAATTGCATATATATTCCGATCAGATAGGTTGAGATATACCGTAAAAACTGTATTAAAAGCCGCATCCCTAATAGAAGTCCCACCCATTCTTTTTGAACAATTGAGAACCAAAAATCATCATTCTCATATGTGTAGATGTTCTAATAGAAGCTGCATTGCCTCTGTTGCATTGTACCATTTTAATAGAAGCCGCGGCTTCTAATACAGATTTACATAATATATAACAATCGAAAAATTGTTTTGTATCAGGATATTTTTGGCATTAGATCATGTTGACGTACTTTAGTACAGCATGAAAAATGTATGCCTAATTATCCACAACCCCTCAAAGACAATTCAGACATGTGCTGCTCCGCCATAGTGTTGCATTAATTTCACCACGCTACCAGCAATTACATGTTTTCACCTACCTGAGTTTCATTATAAATGTTAACAAGATCAATTGGCCTATGACTATCACATATATAAAACTGTACATTTTCTTCTGGTTGTAAGGTATCCAAGATATCAATATTAGCTCCACAATTTATCAAAACTACATATTCAATCTGAAAAAAATAAAAATAGGCCAATGGCCTGTTGCTCAACGGCTATTGTACAAAAGATTAGTGCTGTATATGCCACAACTTTTCGTTTAAATTTGTACTTTTAAACGAAACAACTACACAAAGTTGTGAATGGAATAATAAACACATGTATACCTAACCCCAAAGGATTGGAAACAGTGGTTAGTTGAAATTCCATTTTTAACCAAAAATTACAAAAATATTTGCCAAAATTAGAGAATTAAATATATGGCCATGGGATGATCAAATCTAGTAGATGTCAACACAAGGTACATACACACCAAGTATCAAAGCATTCAGGCTACCAGTTCTGAAGAAGAATTCGAAAATAGAATTTTTGACCAAAAATGACCATTTCAAAATAGTCTGAACTGAAATCAGGTCGGGTCTTAACAGCCGTTTTTTTTTAATTATTTTCGCCTTAAGTTTCTACCTTCCTACTGTCAATGGGTCCCGAAACTATTTCATCAATTATTTTGAGGTCGATGGTCCGAAATTGGTCTTATTCATAAACAAAGTTATTCCAACACCATATTATAGATGGCGCTCTCACTATAGACCGCCACAGTAGAGTTTTGGGAGGCTAATTTGCATAATTTTTGGCAGATCGACTTCTCATGAACGAATTACCATCTACACTCATCAAGGCATCGACACACCAAAAATCGAGTCGAAAGGTTAGGCGGTTTTTGAGAAGAAGTCGTGCACAGACAGACAGACAGATAGATAGACGGACCTATGGTCCGTTGAGCCAAAAAACCTTGGTTGTTTTAAATGCAGTAAAATTGTACTACCCGTAAAATCTGAATTAGAAGCCTCATCCCTAATAGAAGTCGCACCCAATCTTTTTGTACAATTGAAAACCAAACATTCATCATTTCTCATATGTGTAGATGCTCTAATAGAAACCCATCCCCTCTGTTGCACTCCACCATTTTAATAGAAGCTGCGGCTTCTAATACAGATTTTACAGTACATATAGAAAGTTGGATAATACACTGCATACAGAACAAGCTTTACACAAAATTATCATATTGTGTATTGATACTTACAATCATAGTAATATAACTTTGAAAGAAAATATTATTTTAAATGTTCATACTGTTTGGGAAATTGGTTTCATAATTTACTGGTAAATTTCTAGACATTGTCCTCAATGTTTTTAGTTTTGCAATACTGCATCATCAATTGCTCCAGAAACAAAGAGGAATATTTAATGTAAAACTCATGATCTATTCAGCAGCCAGATTTGTCATGTGAATATTTTGTGGAGAGGCTGCACACGATCTCAAGAAATATGTGAAAGTGCACCATAAGGTCACAATACTTGGAACAGTGTTAATGGTTATACAGACATTTTTATCCATCAGCTTAGTTTTAATTTCTTTCAAAATAATTCATGAAAAACTCAATGTAGTTAATTTTTACATGTTAAGCTGCAAAATTTTGAGAAATTATTAGTGTGTTCTTGTTATACAATTTCAAAACAATTGGTGTGGTCATCATTGTGGTAACTTGAATGTACAGCACAGGGGTCAAAATTAGAGATTGTCCATCAACCACATTTGTTGTGGGGCGACTACAATAAATACAGTCTAATGTAGTATTATTGTTAAGTTTGTTGAGCGAAGCTTATCATATGAGTGATTGTCTGTCAGCGTCCGGTGACCGTCGTTGTTTGCCGTCCGTGTCAAATTTATACTTTTTTGACTTCTCGAAAACTACAATTCTTATTGCTTTGATACTTGCTGTATGTGTATCTTTGGCAGCCCTCTCTTAGATTTGTTCATTCATTCATTTGTCATTTTTGATAAAAAAGTGATATTTTTGACTTCTTGTTAAAAACCACAAGTCTGATTGCTGCGATATTATACATATAGGTAGACCTTTCCCAGATTTGTTCATTTCATGATAATATCTTTAATTCTCTGATTTTGATGAATATGTTTGTCATTTTTGGGAAAAAGTGATATTTTTGACTTTTTGTGGAAACCACAAGTCTGATTGCTTTGATATTATACTTTTAGGTACTACAGGTAGACCTCTTTCTGATTTGTTCATTTCATGAGGATATATTTAATTCTATTTAAAACTTTGATGAGTATTTTGGGGAAAAAGTGATATTTTCGACTTCTTGTTAAAAACTGCAAGTCTGATTGCTTTGAAAATATACATCTAGGTACCTCGGGTAGACCTCTCAGATTCATTTTCTAATGATATCTTCAGTTTTTTAATTGAAATGTGCATTGCTAACAGCAGAGCTATCTCAGTCGAGAGGCTGCTCGTTATTCAAATGGTTAAACATTAAAGCTTTATTGGATGGATAATTGAAAATGCAGACAAATGTAGTATGTGTCAATTGTCTGGAATCAAATGATTGGGGGAATTCACTACAACAATTAAAATGCAGGCAAATGTAGTATGTGTCAATTGTCTGGAATCAAATGATTGGGGGAATTCACTACAACAATTCAAGGCCACCTTATGCCAGAACCATCTGTTTACCTGTTCTGAGTGCTCTAAATAAGCTTTCTCTAGATCTTGTCTACCGGACACTGGTACTAACGTATACTGTACATGGTCACATTGGAACATATTCTGCAATATACGACACGCACAGATTGCATCTACATCTAGTGCCACCAGGACAAGTACACGCTGAAAAATGAAACAGACAAATTTGACTATTAATACAAGATGCATTTCCCAATGGTAATTATTGACTTCAGTCAGGTGAATTTTGCCTTTGACTGACTAACATACTGGCTACCTAGAGAAATATGATTATTCCAGCGCCAATGTTTCTTGTGCTGATTAGTTATATACAGGTGTAAATGTCGCTGATCATTTCTAAGTCTCTTTATAAACATCAGTCCTACATTTCCCGTAATATTGTGTGGCAGAAACCTAACTTGGTGACTAAACACACAGTGAATATTTGTAAATAAGGGCCATCAGCTTTTCATTCAAATTCAAACATATAATGTGATTGAGCTCAATACTGAGTACTCACAAACTAGCATGGCAACAACTTTCACCTCACCTCTATGTACACATTGAGTATGTTAATGATGTAAAAGACAAGATATGTGAGATTGGTGAAACTATGCACATTCTGGACACTTTAACCAATATATCAGTTGTTGTGATGTAAGAGGTGAGAGAAAAGTTTATTGTCGTTAAATGGCTGGTAATAATTTCACTTTTCTGCATGGTTTATTATATTACTAATGCTTTGATGTATTGATCTGAAATATCAACATTTCAACAATGAGCTATAAAAGGAGAAATTCAAGTACAAAATCAAATCACTCAGTTATTGCTGCAGACATTCCATCCATGCTTTTCATGGGATCCTGCAGTGGACGAATAATCATCCATTGCTATCGATTATGCTGATGGGGGTACAGTCACTTCGCCCGAAATCCACTTCGCCCGAACTCCTTCGCCTGATTACCAGTTCGCCCAATTACCGGTTTGCCAGTTTTCCTTTTCGCCCGATTTACCGATGTTACACAGTAGGCCTACTGGGGGTTTCGATTCGAAATGTACATCTGGTAAAATGCATAAAATCCACCATATGATCGCATTTTAGTCAAGGTTTTCTTGCCGATGCAAACACTGCAACTGATGTCCGCCATTGCGGGTAGTCATCCCCATTCACAATAGAGGGGTGGCCGACAGGCAATGGGACAGGTATGCATTGGCCGTCATACACAGATTTTTCACTTGTTTCACCATCGGTGTTTGAATAAAATACTTTCGTTGGCAGAATAATTTCAATCCGCGCATTTTATGCAAAGATTGACCATTGACAGAACCTTTGTACGCCCTCCGGTGTTGGGAACTTGGAACACTAAGTAGTACCTAAAGCCAACCTCGGCGTTTATCAATCTAATAAAACTCGCAAATCACGACGTTGTTACCGTATTTTTAAAGTTTTAAATACAATTTATATAGTACCAATAATATATTATTTCCTCTTTTTCTACAGTCAGAGAAAAGGTTAATGTTAAATGTAACTGGGAATTACCAATATTCAATAATAAGCAACATTTGGTACTTTGAATTATGACGATGAGGCCATCGACTGTACGAATGAAAACCCAAGTTATTTTATCTGAATAATAAAACAGGTTTTATAATTGAAAGTGAGCTTATAACAGAGAGCATGAACACGCTTGTGGCACGACGAATATCAATAGTACATTCATTGTCATTGCAACTTGGTTTTTTTTAGAGAAAAAACCTTGCAACTTCGCACAGTATTTCCACATTTACTTTTACAACTGACTGTGTGGTACGTTTACACTATTTCCCTGTTATACAATTCGTTAATCGACGCAATTACACCATGATTACTTTGAAATATGCCCGAAACTTGGCATAGTACATTAACATTTTTTTACATGTTCCCCTATTTATTTAGTCGTTAGCCGTTAACCGATGCAATTATTACACTGGTATAAAATGCACGAATTTAAATTATTTCTACTGTACACAACAATGAAACTATTGTAACAGTATTTTATTAAAACATCGACGGTGATTCACGAGTTTTATTAGTCAAGTCGATAAACGCCAAGGTTGGCTTTAGGTAAACGTAGTGTTCCAAGTTCCAAACACCAGAGGTCGTACAAAGGTTCCGTCAATGGAAATTATTTCTGCCAACGACACTACTGTTATAGGATTTAATAGTTAAAGACATTGTCAGAAGAAATTCGAACAAACGGCATATCATCTTTGTCACTCAGCAGCAATTGGGACTTTCAAAGTTGTTAGACTCCCCTTCACCCAATTAGTAAGCATCCACTGGCAATGGCAATCGGGCGAAATGGCAATCGGGCGAACAGGTAATCGGGCGAAACCGTTCGCGCGAAGTGGTAATTGGGCGAAATGCCCCCACTTCATGCTGATGCTTCCGAGAAGGCTAAGTCCTAAAGTACATTTGTATATTTTAAAAAACAGGCATTTGATGAGCCAAGAGGTAAACTACGGACAAGTTACAGCAATATTGTTTTGATAAGAATCTAGCTCAAAAGTAAAGAGAAAAAATAGTGTGCTCAACATTTTACCACAGCCCCACCCCCACTACCACCAACAGATCTCCCCTCCCAGAATTTCTAATGGTTCATCCCTAATATTTAGAAATCCACTCATTACTAGTATAAATTTCCGTATTCAGTTTTAAACTCAGTGATATTGATAAATAACTGCATACTACACATTTTTCTTACCTGATGTAGAACGACATCATAAAATTCTTTTTTGAAATCCGTTATAAACATTATGACTCGTCAGAGTACTAACTAGAACTATATATTCACAAACACAGTAAATCTCAGGAAAACAAGTTTGTCTTTGGCGGGTCGCTTATTTCTGTTCCTTGCTATTTTGCGAAACGATCGGCGATTGGGCAAAATTCTGAGAATTAGTGTCTTGGACCAATCAAATAATGTGTTATAGAATCGCAGTGAAAGCATTCGTTTGTTGGGTAAGTGTATTTCTCCAGTGATATATTTCACTGCCAATTTGGCTTCCTGTCTGTAGCCAATCAAACTTATTTTTATCATTCTACACTCGCAGTATATTATTATATTAACCATTTCAGTTATATTTTCGTTTTATTTCAGAAATAAAAAATTCAATAAAGAGAAGAATATTGACTAATACCCTCAAATACTGAAAATTGAAAACAAAAACACGCCATTTAACCGTGAGCATAGGGGGTCCTAGACGACTTCCGTATCCGTACCAGCACTGTGCGAAGTCACGGTTTCTTGTGTTTTTATCCGCAGAATTCACATCTACTGAACAAAATGGTAAGTCGCATTGACAGTAATATTTAACTACACTTCGCATAATCAGTAAATGTGATACGTACAAATCGTGTGCATTGGACACACGCTTAGTTCCTGTGGACGTTGTCGGATCAGCTGGACGTCTGTAGAATCTGTACAGACTGTATCTCTGCACAGGGTGTACATGTACATGTGTACATAGTAACATGAATGTTTCCAGAACCAGTGACAATTTGTATCACTATCAGCATATTTCAGAACGACAATCCACTTAATTGTGGTCATTGTCTTTAATAAATCAACACTGTGTTTACAAATTCTAAAACTGGAGAACACACTACAAATAACCTGATTTTACTCACAATTGATGTTATGGCTGAAAATCCAAATAATTTACCAGTTAAGTATTGGAAAAGGTTCCTTTTGTACCCCACCCCTAAGCCTAACACTAACTCTCATTCTAAGCCACAAAATAAATGTATATGCCCCCTCTAGATTACT